GAGGTTCAAATAAAAACCTTACTATCCTAAAAACTAAAAACCAATCCTCTCCATTGGATCTAGATTCATTTAATGGCTGAGATTAAATCTCCATAAGGGTAATTAGGTAAAATAAACAGCCCCTAAAGAGAGGTAATTAATGCTTGTCTATTGTGTACTCCATTTCCCCATGCAATCTCACGGCTCAGGCAACCCAACAGTCACGAACAGCAGTCCTCTCACTCTACAACCAGCATCTCTCGTTCATCGTCCTTCAGCTCTTTCTCCACAACCAGCTTCATCGTCCTTCAGCTTTCTCGTTCATCTGTCCTTCAGCTATCTCGTTCATCTATCCTTCATCGTATTTGAGCTCTTTCGTTCATCGTCCATTATCTGGCCATTCTTAAACATTTTATGGAGATTTAAATGGAGAGCTTGAATTCAGGTCAGCAGGTTCATGCATGTTTTCATTTTAATCGATCCAGATTCAGTATTTTAATACTTAGTCATATGACTTATTATATAGGAGCTTACATTCTTAAATATTTTTTGGAGTTTTAAATGGAGAGCTTGAATTCAATTGAACACGTTCTAGTTGTTAATCTAGATTCACTGCATTGAATCGAGATTCATTGTTAAAGACTGCAGTGATTTTCATAATTTATTCACTTGTTTACTGTAGTGAATTTGGATTCAATGCAGTGAATCGAGATTCACTCCAGATTAATTAGCAATAACATGAATTCAATGCAGTGAATCAAGATTCACTCCAGGGAATCAAGATTCACTCCAGTGAATCTAGATTCACTCCAGTGAATCTAGATTCATTGTAATGGATCCAGACTCAGTATATCAAAACTTAGTCATATGACTTGTTATCTAGGAGTTTACATTCGTAAACATTTTATGTAAATTTAGTTGGAGAGCTTGAATTCAGTTGAACATGTTCTAGTTGTTAGAGTATGCAGTGATTTTCATAATGTATTCACATAGAGCTTGAATTCAGTTGAACATGTTCTAGTTGTTAGAGTATGCAGTGATTTTCATAATGTATTCACATATTTACTGTAGTGAATCTGGATTCAATGCATTGAATCCAGATTCACTACATTAAACATGTGAATACATTATGAAAATCACTGTATACTCTAACAACTAGAACGTGTTCAACTTAATTCACATGTTTATTGTAGTGAATCTGGATTCAATGCAGTGAATCTAGATTCACTCAAGCGAAACCAGATCAATTGTAATGAATCCATATTCAGTATATCAAAACATAGCCATATGATTTATGTTTTATTTTCATGTATGTAGGCAGCTATGAACAAATAAAGGAACCACATGTTATAAATGTATCGGACAGTGATTTTGGGGAAGATGGAATGGACGAAGTTAGCTCGATTCCTTTTCAATCACCAGGTGGTGGTATGTATTGGAAACCTCGGGTTGAAGCTGAATTTAAACCTTATATAAACCAAAGCTTCCGATCACTAGAGGATGGTATAGAGTTTTACCGAGAATATGGACGTAAAAGTGGGTTTGAGATCAGACGGCATACAGAGAAGAAACATGACGACGGTACAGTTCTTCTTAAACACATTGTTTGCAGTAGAGCTGGCAGCAATGAATCAAAGATGGATGTTGATTATGAGGATTTTAGTAGCAGTTCGAAAAAGAGAAGGAGAACTGTATCTAGTAGATGTGGTTGCAAAGCTAAAGTCGTTTTTAAGTTTGATGATTTGAAAGGATATAATGTTCTCTCATTCGTTGAAGAGCATTCTCATTTTTTGGTCTCCGGTAGTGGGAAACAATTTTTGAAGTCAAATAGAGTTCTCGGTCTCGCACATAAGAAACTTGTATTTGATGGAGCAAAAGCCAACATGGGGCCAAACAAAACATATAACTTTGCTAAGGAGTTGTGTGGAAGTTATTCTAATGTTGGTGCTACGTGTACCGAGTTTAAAAATTGGAGTAGGGATGTGAAGCTTTATATTGGTGATCGAGATGCTCAAATGATCATCGAGAAGTTCACGGATAAGAAGGAGATGAGTGATGGATTTTTCTATGATTATGCAGTTGATGAAGGCGGTCGATTAACTCGCATCTTTTGGGCCGAAGAAATTATGATGTATTTGGAGATGTGATATCATTTGACTCTACATATTCCACAAACAAGTAAGATTTTATAGCTAATCTCTTATGATTTTCAATATTGTAATTATATGTCATAGTGAATCTTATATTTTTTGTATGTGATACAATAGGTACAACATGAAGTTTGTTCCATTTACTGGTCTCGACAATTATAAGAAGTGTGTTGTATTTGCAGCAGGATTGATAGCTAAAGAGGACATTGATAACTATGTCTGGATTTTTGAGGTATTCATGAAATGCATGATTCGCGAGCCAAAGTGTATTGTTACAGATCAGTGCCCTGCCATGAAGCAAGCTATACCAACTGTCTTTACAGAAGCACGTCACCGTTTGTGCATGTGGCACATCATGAAGAAATTTAACCAAAAGGTAATGAATCCCACATATAAATATCATGAATCCTCATTAGATAAATACTGAATCTTTCGTTATATATTTATATTGTAGTTGGCAAAATGCATTTCGAAGATGGATGATTTCAAGAGGAAGATAAATGCACTGATTTGGAGTATAGATATAGATCCAGCAACATTTGAAGTAGGTTGGAAAGATGTTATGAAAGAATATAAGCTTGAAAGTAATGAATGGTTGTGTGAACTGTATAACATTCGGGAGTCATGGATTCCAGCCTATTATGCTGATGATCCAATGGCTGGTTTATTGCGTACTACATCAATATCAGAGAGTGAGAACAGTTTCTTTGACAAATTCAACCGTAGATCTGACACATTGACAGAATTTTATCTCCGATACGAGAGTGCTATGGAGAAGCAAAGGCATACAAATGCAAGATTAAACTATGAAGGAACAAAGTCGATGCCAAGAATGGACACGCCATTGTTATTGGAGAGGGATGCAGCAGAGTTGTACACTCGAACAATGTTTTATGAGGTACAGAAAGAGATAATGTCATCCTGTTATGATATGAGTATCAACAGTATATCAGAAGAAGATGGTGTGAAGATTTTTTCCATAAAGGACAAAAGGAGGCATGGAAAAATATTTGAGGTAATACTTAATAGCGTTTTTTGAAACAATAAAAATGATTCAACGAAGTGAATCTCGATTCACACCACTGAATCGAGATTCATTGACCATTTCATTCGCTTGTCATTTTCTTTTTTTATTCGGTGCTAATATACATTGTTTTTTGAATTTTAGGTGAATCACGCTTATTTGAACAATGACATGCAATGTACGTGTAGGCTATTTGAGAAAATGGGTATAGTATGTAGACATAGTTTTTTGCACTGAACCAAGCTGATGTAACAAAAATACCAAGACATCTTGTTGTGAACCGATGGACAAAAGGTGCTGAGATGAGGCATTCATTGCAGTTCAAGGAAATATCAGAACAGTGCAATGCAATTGAAGTTACAAATCGCAAGTTGAATGACATATGGTATGATTTCCAATCCTGTGTGAGTTTGGCAGGTTTAGATGGTGAGAGACTTGACTACCTGGAAGGGAAGTTGAAGGAGTTGAAGCACAGTTTGCGTGAATCTAGGTGGAAATCTGACACACAGAACAAAAATAATGTAATGGAGTTTTTTGTGGGCTCAAAAATACCAGCTGAAGTGATCGTTAAACCTCCCATTGAAAGTAGAAACAAGGGGTGTGGACGGAGAATTGTTGGTGATTATGAGAAATCAATTAGTCAACGAAAGAAGAAGGTGCCAAGGCTGTGTAATATGTGCAAAAAAATCGATTTCCATGACGCACGGACATGCCCATTAAAGAAAACAATACAGCAGAGTGATGTTTAACTTAGTTGTCATATTTCGTTTCAAAATCATGTTTAGAAATATATTTCTTATTAAAATTGCTGAATTGTGTAATTCTTAACTACATATATTTACTAGATTATTAATTACATGGTTACGTTGTGTCATGTTAGTATATTGAATTGAGATCTACTCATATAGCATGTGAATTCCATTATTATTAGTTGTATTATTTCAAAAGGAATGATAAAGTAGTTGTATGCAGTCATCAGTTTAAATTTGATTCGTTTTAAGTGATTCTGGACTAACTATATTGAATCTAGATTCATTGTAGTGAATCTAGATTCACTGATATTGAATCTCCATATCACTATAGGGATTCATTATAATCAATCAAATAATCAAATTATTTAATTATTTCGGTTTAAGTGATTCTGGATTAACTATAATGAATATAGATTCACTATAGTGAATCTGGATTCACTGAACTGAATATGGATCCACTATAGTGAATCTATTTTCAATCAAATAAATTACTAAAAACTTAAGATAATATTGACTTACTGAATTTTTCAGTGTAGTGAATCGAGATTCACTGCATTGAATCTCGATTCACTGCATTGAATCTAGATTCACTATAGTGAATCTAGATTCAATCAAATAAATTAGTAATAACTTAAGATAATATTGAAACAGTGATTCCAGATTAAATACATATAATCCACAATAAGTATGATTAATTTATTTTATGTTACATAAAACCTTGAATTAAAAATCAATTTCTCTGCTTAAATCGAAATTCTTCCAATTGCATTGAATACCTTCACAATATTTTCATATATCCAAACTATTCACAAATCTAGAAATAAAATTATGATAAAGCTATTCTTATAAAGTATATTTACATAGAAAAGCAGTTCAACACAAACTGGAGTATTCTATAACATTAAGTGATAATGTACTCAATAACTGTAAACTTCAACATTGAAAATTATGGTGATTACAGAATATTATTTTCTTTGAGATCTTGTGGTCTTCCTCGTCTCTTTTTTGACATTGGCAGTTTCAGCATGGTGCTGTTGGGCTTTGCTCCATATGAATAAAAGTTCAGTTCAAGATTCAGTAGCTAATTGATGTGCTTTATATTCTAAATTTTATTAATTCAAAAAGACTAACTGTAAATCTTATTAGATTCAGTAGTTATATTCTAAACACTTACACCCTCTCTATGAAAACCAGAGTTCTAATTTGCTGTACCACCGCCCATGTAGGTCTCCATATGTCTCATGACAAAAATACCACAGTCAAATTTGTTTTTGGCTGTTCTCCACTCCATCTCAAGTCTGTCAGGCGTTAATGTATTTATTTTATTCGCCTTGTGATGTTTTTTGTGTGCCAAATATCTCACAAAATTCTGGTGCTGTTTAATCAAAAGTAATCAGTGTCACATAACAGTAATGTTCAATGTTTAATCCAAATTATTATACAGTAATGTTTAATGTAATATACAAATTGTTTTGGTTGTTTATATGGAAACAATATTAATGACAGTGAATCACGATTCATTGCATCTAGATCGCTAGGATTTAATAGAGTTAGTTCACCTGGACTCACTCTAATGAATCTCAATTCACACTAGTGAATCTGGATTCACTAGAATTAGCTATAGTTAGTGGATCGTGATTACGTGATGTTAACACAGATTCACTAGCTCTATTGAATCGAGATTCATAGTAAGAAACACAGATTCACTAGCTCTATTGAATCGAGATTCATAGTAAGATGTGAATCCAGGTTCACTAACTCTAGTGATCGAGATTCACTAGAGTTAGCAAATCTGGAATTCTCTGACTCTAGTGAATCCAGATTCACTATAGTTAATCCTGATTCACTATAGTTAATCCTGATTCGCTTATTACTGTATTCTGCCAGTAAATATTTAAAGAACATACGTAAGGTGGAAAAACATACCAAACCCTCAGGACGACCTTGGTATTTTTCCTTGTAGTCTGGGTAGTTTTTGCTATTGTCAATCAGCTCCATACTTGGATTCTTTAGCCCATAGCACACAATGTAGAAATGCTCAAACGCATTTATGGGGAAGAAGACCTAATGGTTGTGAAATTTAATCAGAGATTTTACAGATATAGTTAAAATTGGGTTAAAGAACAAAAACATGGTCTTCAAATATTTACCATATCAATCTCATTAAACTTCATATGTGGATACAGAGCAAGTTGCTCATCCATACGGGAAGCAAACCGACTGTATCTCAATTCATCATTGGCCTCATCTGTGTGATGAATGTTGCAAAACTGTACAACATAAAACTGGTTAAATAAGATGTAACTCAAGTGTTATTTTAAATAAAATAAAGGAAGATACGTACGGTTGTCTCAACATTGCAGAAGAATCTAAGTGGAGAATTGTCGGACTTCATATTTTCTCTGCTGTTCAAAATATAGGACCAAATGCTGATTACATTTGCCTCAATGTAATCAGCAGGAAGGAAAGTCTTGAAAGCAGGTAAGAAACATTCAATTTGTCTCCACTTAAAAACCATTTCACTGAAAAAACAGTAACAATATTCAATTTAATAAAGTGACAAAATACTAAAAACAGTGAGTCTCACACCTAAAAATAAAATATCAAATAAGATTTAAGAACTCACAAATTCTCTTCTTCAGCAGAATCATCACCTGAATGCCTTGCTTCTTCTCTATGCACCCAATTCCATATGATGCTTTCCAGCTGACTTTGCCTAGCAGTAATCTGAGATACCCTCTGCACCCATGGTGACCGAAGAGACGTTGCAGGCTTCACCATCCTTTTTTCTTTCCCCCTTCCCGCATGTCCCTTATTTTCGGTCACCTGAACTTTCTTACCTTTACATTCATCTATTGCAGCAGCATCTTCAGCTTGTTTATCAGTTCTTTTTACAGGGTCATCAGTGACTTCAGATTCAACTTGTTTAGCAACCTGAACAATATCTACCATTTCCACTGTCTCATTCTCAGTATCCTGTGTTAGGCCAAGAGAAAAACTAGGTTCTTCAGTCTGTGGGGTACCACATTCGCTGAGCTTCCGCTTCACTGGTCTTTCATCCTTTTTCTTGCTAACAGTCTCTATAATCTTATCAACTTCTTGAATAAAATTTGGGGAGACTTGGGTTTGTGGTATCTCAGCTGATGTTGGATCAACAGCAGGGGAAGCATGCATATCTCTACTCACATTTGTGTTCATGTTAGGTGTATCATCAACAATGTTTCTCTCAGCTGTTTCATCGTTACAGGTACTTACACGATGTCCACACCCCTGCACAAGAACATTTGAAACTCTCTGTTGAATTTGAAAGAGCTCATTGTCATTGGGGAACAGCTTTCTCATTGTCTCACACTCAGCATTCACATTAGGGGTATCATCAACAATGTTTCCCACAGCTGTTTCATCGTCACAGGTACTTACACGATGTTCCCACCCCTGCACAAGTACATTTGAAACTCTCTGTTGAATCTGAAAGAGCTCATTGTCATTGGGGAACAGCTTTCTCATTGTCTCACACTCAGCATCAAATCTATTTTTTGCAGATTCAAGCTCTGCAGCTCTCCGTTGAACCCTCTCAATACAATCCTGCATTTTGAATATCACAGACATTGGTCACCATTACATCATTAACATGGCGATAGACAAGATTCGATAGTTTGAGATTACATTCAATGTATTTGAATCAAGATTCAGTAGTAGTGAATCCAGATTACATTCAATGTATCTTAATCGACATTCAGTTTAAATGAATCGAGATTCACTCCTACTTAATCGAGATTAAATTGAATAAACAAAGTATTGCAACTTAATTTGCTAACCTTTCTAATTGTATCAACACTTTTAGGAGAGTTTCCAGTAGCACTCTGCATTCGAGATGAATCTGGAAGTTCAACCCTCTCTGTAAATGCACCTTTGCCAAATGAATTTGTTCTTATTTCCTCTGACTGTCTTTCCTTCAAGGCGAAGTCAGTCCATCCTAAAAATGTAGGGGTTGTTCTCTCAACCAACCTCCTACCTTTGAACAGAACCCGATCGGCATAGAACAGCTACAAAGACGGAGATAAGAAATAAAGCACAGCAATTAGTAATCATCAAGTAAAACTACTTTAACTACAGTAATGTAAAAATAAATCAATATTATACAAGTGACTTACAATCAAGAATGCAAGAGGACCCGTGTAGAATTGTTTTGTCGGGTCAACCTTCCACTTGTATTGGCTTTCTATCATTGAGTCAAGCAAGAAAGAACACCAATGCTATCTATCATTGAGTCAAGTAATAAAGAACACCAATTGTATTGAGAGCACTGATCAACATTATCACCAAGTACTAGAATCCGTTGGTTGACATACGGATTGCTAAGCGACTGGATCATGCTGTTGTGAAAGAGAACCAAGAAATTCAGTTTAAAAAACAGGTTAACATCAGAACTCTGCTTCAGTTTCTCAGACACAGCCCCTGGAGTAATTTTCCAACCAAATCTGTCTGTGAATTGAGCCCTCCATTCATCCACCAAAGCTGACTTCCCAATACTGGAGGCTGGGATACGCTTCCTGCCCAGAGGTAATCCCATCACTTGATGTACATCTTCCTCTGTGATACTGATTGATCCTCTGGGAAGATTAAGCGCAACGGATTCACTGTCAAAGGACTGCAGAATCTGGTACCCCAACATATGTGGCAGTTCCTTTAATCCAAATTGTAAAAGACCTCCAAGTCCAGCTAGTCTCACCCATTCTTTTTGGGAGTCAGACAGTGACAAAACCATATCAGAGAATATCTTTGGAGAGACCCGTATCCTAGTCAACTCCTTAGGTTCAGACCTCACATTTTTTTTTTCAAAAACTTCTCCAGTGAAAAAAAAATATATAATTAGATGGAATTATCCATCAGTTAATACCAAAAAAAAATAAAGATGTTTAGTACACCAACCTTTTTTATCTTCTTCCTTTCTTTTGTGATCTGTTCATTGTCTTCATCCCTCCTACGCTTTGATG